TCTATTTTAATAATTATTTTATTGGGAAACAACTCTTACGTTATCTCTAAAGATTGCCAGGAACAGAAATATTCTCATACCAAATGAAAATGCAGGTAATTCGAGCAACTGTAGTTTTACTTGTCTGAAAGGTACAGTTATTCTCAGCACACACATTTCTCATGTTTTACCCGTAAAGAACTCCAGCAAGGCTCCCAACACCAGCAGTTGAGCATCTGTGCTGCAGCGAGGTGTTGGTCAGCCTTTGGGAAGGGCGGCTCGCCCCCGGCCCCGCAGAGCTGGCACCAGCGCTCCCCAGGCTCCATGCTCAGCCCTGTCCTGCGGTTCCTCCCGCTGCTAGCACGCCGGCTTTCCTCAGCACGGAAGGCAGGATCCGACTGTCGGCTGCTCAGAACCAAATCACCTCCGTAGGCGTTTGCACACCGACATCTGTTCACGAAACGCACGGCTATGTGCACGTGCAAAGCAGGCGCCTGCTCGCGCCGGCTCCTAGAGACCTGCTTATCGGCCTGCCGGTGGCTGAGGGGTCAGTCCACCCGGGAGCCAGTCTGCCTCTAACGGGGGTCTGGACTGCTCATGAACAACCATCGTCATCTGAAAGCATAATCATGCACACATCAGTAAGCCTACCTTTAGTAAAACACCAGCACTCAAAGAAGACTGAACCATAAATGCTACCCAACTATCAAATAATTATCAACACCAGATGAAGAAATAACAGAACCATTAAAGTGACATAACTGCATCGTGACTTTGACTTAAATACTTGTTCACAACGGCGAGTGAGAAAAACGCTAGGTATGTGGACTGAGCCTCGCAGGAGAAAATACTGATCTTTCTATTTCCTATTTTTAAAGAGAGGCTGATTGAGAACATTTTTGAATGTGGGAGACTAAGTCATTAAAACAGAAGCACTTGGATTGCTTTCTCCCTTTAGGGGATTTACTTCATTTTACTTTGTCTGACACAAGTCAGAAAGAAATGAGAATATTGTAAGGAGAAGGAAAGATGAATTTTGACACATTATTCTCCACTAAAATTCTTCTGCTGACTTTGTTCAGCTTTTTCTAAGATCAGAAAATGAGGCTTTACCTACAATGAATTTGAGAGACAGGTAGGTTTTCCGCACACCCTTGCAGCACTACAGTGTCCTACTGTCTCAAAGCAGAGGATTTTTTCCAGCTGCTCCCAAATCTTTTACATTTGTTCACAAACTAGTATCTCCGTTCTGTTTATACTCTGATAAAATATTGAGAGTCATTTCCTCGCTTTTGGACTGCACGTTGTGTTCACTTCTTCTGGATGATTTCCTGGTCGCCCTGGAAAGCCGCCTTCGAAAGGTGTCACCTGCCAGAAAGTAAAGGATAGGGTCGACGCAGCTGTTGAGGCTGGCCAGGCCCCTCGTCACCTGGTAAGTGGCATAAACCTTATCGTTGAAGGCACACATTTGTGGAGTCTGGAAATCCAGCCTGGCTCTTAGATTTAAGGTCTTCATCACATGGAAGGGAAGGTAAGACACAGCAAAGACCGTCAACACAATAATAACCAGGTAAATAGACTTTCTCCTGAGAGGAGAATTGTCCAAATCTTTGTAAATCAAAGCTTTCACAATCAGCCCATAGCAACCCAGGATCACTATGAACGGGATGCAGAACATAAACACCGTGGTGCACATGCTGTAAACAAAGTAACTTCTCAGGTAATCATCGGCTGTTGTGTCATAGCATGTCGTGGTTTTATTTCTCCTTATCCCTGTTCCCGAGTAGAAGAGTATCGGAGAAATCACGGCCACCACGAGGACCCAGACCAGGGTGCTGATGTACACCGCGTTCTTCTTCTTCAGCCTCCCCAGCGACTTCAGGGGGTGCACCACCCCCGTGTACCTGTGCACGCTTATGCAAGTCAGAAACAAAATGCTGCCGTACAGGTTCACGTGGAAGATGAACCTCTGCAGTTTGCACATGATGTCCCCGAAGATCCAGTCTGTTTTATTGAAGTAGTAGAAGATGAGGGCAGGCAGTGTCAAGACATACAAGAAATCGGCTAGCGCCAGGTTGAACATGTAAACCGAGATGCCGCTCCAAGGCCTCATGTGGAAGACAAACATCCAGATGGCCACGCTGTTGCCCAGAAATCCAGTGATGAAGACCAGAATGTAGACGGTGGGCAGGTAATAGAACTGGAAGCCAGTTTTGGTGAGGGAACACTTG